AATATCTGGTTGCAGATGCCTAATCCTTATTAACTAGGTAAGTGTACTTACTAAGTTACACTATACATCATGATTAACGTCATATTGGAAAGAATGATAAATATTACAAACTTCTGTAAAACTTTTAAAAATAATTTATTATTGTTGTTAAATACGGTCCTGTAAGGACGATCTGCGACGCGTGCATACAAATACACACGGTTACGGTGTCAGCGGCGGCAGCGTCTTTTAAAATAACTAACAAGGCCGATAAATTTCGACCGTTGTTTATTGGGAAATTTCTTTTTTAAAACGGCCGCCGCGGTTTTATTCAGATTTTTTGAAACTGCTCGCCATTCAATGTAAAACCGGCGTCGTCGCGACCTCTCCAAAAACCCGAACCTCGGAGGACCGAGAGACGTTTCGATGGCAATTGTGCCCAATATCTATCTATCTGACTGTTGTCGATTCCACAAGCTTTGAATAAAAATAAATAAATAAATGATAGTATTTTATGTTCCCAATTTAACTGGTACTCATAGTTCTGTATTGATGGACCTTGCTTGTAACGGGAATCTTGTTCCTATATTTACGTTTTGTGCATCATGCTGGATAATTGGTTTCGAGACAACGAGAGCAATGCAAAAAATTCGATTTTCGAAAATTAATTTTACTTTTGACACTTGTTTTGTAAATATCCGTATATATAATCGTCCCCCTCGAAACGAAAAAGAAGTAGAAGTTGGTACCCCCAACGCCCAAACTTCATCGGCCCTGATCGCAGATAAGAGAAATGAGATATAAATCAACCGGTGGAAAAGTCACTAATGGTAAGATGATAGGATGAGATTGCGGTTCGGCTGCCCGGCTACTGGTTAACGTCCGATTGCTCTTCCTCCGCTTTGATCGATAGCATCTCTTCGCCCAAAAAGACGTTCATTAATCCCTTTGGTAACGAGACCTTTTGAGATATTTTTTCCTCCCTTTTCATTTCTTATCCTTAGAGAGAGCAAACGCTTATTGCAATCGGTAACGTCATAAATACGCGATTTATTGTCGGTTTTGTCGTGTCTTGAAAACTACCTTACTATTAGTACTATGAGACACTATTTCTTATACTACGAAACAGGATGTACTAAGTTTCTAGAAGCTATCCATTGTCGGTGAAGTTAATATTAAGTCGGAGATACATAGAAATTAGAAATTAAATTAAAACTTGAATAATTAGATATAAATTTAACGTTAAATTAACGTTGTTATCTAACTTAATAATTTTATTGAACATGTACCAAAAACTTTCTTGGTTTTATAATAATTTCTATTAAATTTAATGAATATTTTGATGTTAATGGTATCTACTCACCTTAAAATAAGAAATACCATCTGTGGCAAACATGAATTATTGATATTTTAGGTGAGGCCGCGAACGGAAGCCCTCAACCCGCCATTTATCTAGTTTATTAGAACGCACATAATTATATAGTTAATGCAGTCGGGCGTTTTATCCGACAATACGTTATTGATTGTGGATCCACGTCCTCAATAATTTCAAAGTGATTTATAGCGACTGAAAGATTGAAACTTGAGATCGGTTTTGCCGTCTAATGCGTATAATTTGTCTACATGCATTACCACTCACTCATACAGAAGAAACTTATTTTCTTCATTATTTCCATTCCAACAATAATTAAATTGGTCCACTCAAATTGGTCTTTAAGGTTGATTAGTTTACAAAAGAATTCGCCGCAAGGAAATACAACTAACGGGGGAGTTGTTTGGAAAAAGAAAAAGTACTAAAAGCGTGCTTAAGCTCTGGGTAACCCTATTAATATTTATTGTTCTCAGAGGTAGGTCGCTATTATTTCCTATTCACCGTTTGCCTGACTATTATTAAAGATTTCCGCTTAGTCATTACCACCACGAAATACCCATTCAAATTAATTACTATATTTAATATTGTAGAGTATATTATATATATTTATATACAGGATTATTTATAACATACAGAGCAGACTTAAGGTAAACCTGAAGAGATTTTCTTAATAATGTTTTGTTAAAAACTTAATAGTTACATAGATATCGCATGTTAATTTTTTAAATAATTTAATGCCATTTTTGAGAAACGCTGATATTCAGTAAAGAACAATTAAAATACTTGTCAACGCCATCGTCATTTTTGAAGGAGCTGTAAAACAAGACAATTTATTATTTCAGTAGTTTTGTTATTTTAGATAATACGTAATTTGTTAAAAGAAATAATAGATGTTAATTTATGAAACGTCTAATAATAATGATTTAAATGCAAAATTACTAAATCTCTAAAACAATTATTTAACTACTCTAAAATTGCAGCCCCAAAGGATAATCAGCGCGAGTCAGTCCTTGCACCTTTTGGTAGGGGTATAAACCATTACTTTTCAACAAAGTTCTGGGAAACTTCGAGTTAGTGAGAAGATTTGACGAATTTTGACTGGGTATTTGCATCTGCATCAACAATTTCTAGAACTTCTTCTTCTACATTCACTCCATATCTGTTTGGTCTACTGCCACCAAGACCCTTCTTAGGTTGTCTCTCTTCCTAGCTGGACTAACCGAAGAAAAGTGTTTTCTGAAGGCATCTGTCGATTTGGAAATCGTTACAAATACAGATCTCTTGCATGTGCAGCGTTTTCTCTAGTAGCTCCATAAACAATAAGCACATCTATGTATTCCTCGTTACTGTAATGTTACATTGTACTTTCTGATTTGTAATTGTTCTAATTTTGACGTTAAATTACATTGTTTATTAACTGTTAAATAACATGTCCGCTGCAAAGTAACCGAGTCAACTGAATTGGCAGCAATAAAAAGATGGTATCAGCGGTTCCCAACAAAAAAACACCAGTTTTTGAGCGTTTTAACAAATTTTTAAATAGCCGTAACTGCTATATTACAAAGTATTACAAACTTATTACAATTTTATTATTTTTGTTAATTATGCATTGTTTAACAAATCCCGAAATATTCGCAGCTTGTATTTAAACGTAATGTAATATCGTATATTGTAAGTAATGGTAGGCCATTAATTCGTTCTATATCTTTGTGATTATTAAGTTGTGGTCAAAACATTATTAAGAAAATATCTTCAATTTGGCCTCTAGTACCTACCTTTTTATTCTGCTCTGTATGTTATAAATCATCCTGTATATTTATATATATTTATACAGGATGTCTCACGTAACTGGTTCGTCAGATCTTTTTTAGGTTCCACTATTCGTAGAGGTTTGAAATTTTGGTAGCATGGGTGGTTCATTCTAAACTTTCCATCTAAAATATTTTCCACCACTTCCGGTCTACCGGAAGTAGACCGCAACTTCGTTATTTTAAATGGAATGCTATAGTTTTTATTACACCTTTCTTCTTCCTTATTACACTTTTACCTAGCGTTGTTTGTTTTCGAGTAATTTTGATTTTAAGGTTTTTTTGGCAAATTTCACCATGCTCTTTAAAAGCCCATATCTCAGATAACGTTCATTAAAAGAACCTCTAAATTGGTACGATTACTCTTCAGATATTGTCAAATAGATTGTCATTTCTTGTATCAGAGTATCTTATTCTGGGTGGTCAAATATTGTATTACCGTATCTCCATATTCAATGGCTAGAAAATCGAAAATTTTAAATGGAATGCCCCGTATTTTTTTACCCTATCAGAAAGGGAATTTAATTCTCTACAAATTATCTGTAATCATTCTTATACCTATTTATTGTAGTTTCCCTGATATTGGGAAATTAATCAACGCCGATATTTTCAATTTGTTTTTATATTCATGGCGAATGTAACAAATTTTTGGATAGGACGTGTCGAACATTTAATGACAGACGTTTTGCTCTTCTTATTGCTTCAAGTTATTTTTCATTGTAGTGTTTTTTAAGACGTAGTTTCTTGATATCTAGATATTTGATGTTTTCTAAGGTCTTAATTTACCATGTTCTGTTTGGATGTACGGAGAGTCCTCTTTGATGTTGTGGTAAGGTAGTAAGAGCTAGAATTTGGAAGGGTTGGGTTGTAGTCTCCATTTGAATAGCCAGGCAAGTACCTCGTTGTAGAATGTTTGCATTTCTTTTGTTATTTCAATTAGAGTTTTGCGTGGGTGACCAATGTCGTGTCGTCCGCGTATTGTAGGATATATCGATTTTGGTCGAATAGGGAATGGTTTGGAAAAAAATGTCGAAACAGTAAATATTGTATGTCGATCCGAGATTTCATCCGCGGTTCCCTTTGGAAAGGGGCAGACGTTTCGCCAAGATCTCATCTGGCATCTTCAGTGCGTTGTCGTAGTCTCCTGTCGGCAGATACATACTTCTTCATCCGTGAAGCACTACGCATTAACATTATATATATTTATATATATTAGTTGCTGTGGTCGATCCAAGATTTCATCCGCTCTTCCTGTTGATTCCCTTTGGAAAGAAGCAGATGTTTCGCCAAGATCTCACCTGGCATCTTCAGTGCGTTGTCATAGTCTCCTGTCAGCAGTTTGCCAGTAGTATCTAGTCTTCTGCTAACAATATTTCATGTTCTGGCAGCTGTATTTCGTCCTCTGTCGGCAGTATTTAGTCTTCTGCCAGCAGTATTTCGTCTTCTCCCAGCAGAATTTAGGTTTCCCAATATAACTTAATCCAACCCAACCCATATTTCGTCTTTTGTCAGTATATATATAGTATATTTATTAACAAAAATTTGTTAAACCATGAATATATATAATTGTATCAATTTCCGTTTCCTTTCAATTCTAATATTCGTATCTAAAAGTAATAGCTTCAGGTGCAATCTTACTTTCCGCGGCAAATTAATTCGCGACCATCGGATTTACATGTAAACGACGTGGAGTATCGCACGCACCACTTTCGTAGCACCGCAATAAGAACAACAATCGCCGTAATTTCGCAAATGCAAATTGTATCTCCGCATGCATTACACGTTCTCTAGTTTCGGACGTCGTAAACCGGGCACTTTACCGGGTGTTTGCAACGGCGACAATGGCGACAAACGACGCCGATGTCGCGGCCCGAGGCGCAGGTGCCCCATGCGATAATCGCGGAATGCGAATACCGCCCACCGGTAAAGCCGTGACAACTTGTTCGGAACGCGCCGTCCCGACCGTTAGCCTAGGATTGTCGCCCCATAAACGCCTCGGATTCCCTCTTGTGTCCCCCCCTTTTTAAGAAAAATCCATCTCAATAGCGGACACGGCAAATTACGCTTATGGACGTTGCGAATATTTCACTTTATTGTGGATCGTCGTACTCCGGCCAACGTTAATGAGCCCGGTTAGTGTTTGATGCATTGCGGTCGTTTTCGCGACGATGGCGACAGTGATTTCAGATTGTTCGCGTTTACGTCCGCCCTAATGACCCCATTCGTCTTCGAAGACATAACGACCTTTTATGAGACATTTTCATCGAGAATTTCTAAGAATAACTTTTCTACCATTTTGTTGATGATGTCTTATATCATAACATTTTATAATTTCTTATATAAATTTTATTTGCTTTTCATATTACTTTTGATGTACCTCAAAAAAACAGAAAATATTTATAAAAAAAAGACTCCGTTTTATTTAATGCATATACAATGTAAAAAAATAATTATTACGCCATCTATCAGTAAGTAGATTATTGATTCGTTACAATAGCTGTCATCTATTGGGCTATAATTGAACTTTTATTCATACGTTCATGTGGATATATGAATCTAGCTCTATATATGAATAACCATAGACTATAAGAATCTATGGTCGCAGATACAAGTAACTAATGTCCTTGATTTATACATCATATTGACAACTCGAGGAATATCCCGAGTTTATCTATGAACATGGAATAGAGCAACTTGAGAAATAACCCGAGTTGGATTCTATCTAGGAGCGCTAACATTTCTATTTAAATATAATACTGATGTATTAAATAGTTAATATTGAGATCTGTTATATCGAGGTTTTACTGTAAGAGTTAATTTACACCAAAAGGTTCTCCTCCCAACCCAAGAAGATATTAAACGTCACTCGATACGTGCGCTCATTTGCCGATAATTATAACCGGTACCGCTATATGGAACGGTTGAGAAGAAAAGAAAAAGTTAAAGAAAACGTTGGAAGTAAACAACGAACGGTACGGCGGCGCTCCCCTCCGGCTTAATTAGATGGAGAGTAACGATTATTTTTCGCCCCTCACGTTCCCAACCCGCGTCCTTTCGGATCAAAGGTGAACTCCGTGAACCCTACGAATGACACGCCTTCCGGGTTCTGTAATTATTAACAGGGAACTTCATTAGGAAGGAAATTTCTAACCCGTAGATATTCTACCAATATCCAACCAATATATCCAACAAATATCTAACGAACGTTCAAGTAATATTCATTAAGGTTATTAAATAATCTCGATAATTTAAGAATATTAAAGACATTAAATTTTATTGACAAGCAAAGAAAAATGTAAAAAAAAATTAATTAGTCACATATTAACTTAATAACGTTGGGGAATTAATGCAACAAAAGAAGAGGTTTAAATTTTTAAAGAAGATTCGATTTCTGTTAAAAACACGAAGCCTTGTCAACGTACTCCGTAATCTTTAGACGACATAAGACTTGATAATAATCATCAGAGACGTTGCAATTATAATCTGATCCGACTACCACCCAACAAACAAAATAGAAAAGTTTTTCGATTAAGCAAAGAGGATTAAATATTTTTAATTTTCGTCATCTTTTATATGTTTACACTTTAAGACCTATTGATTGTATATAAGAAGTTGTTGTTGGCCGGTTCGTGATCTCGGCCTATACAATAACAAATCACGTTTATGATGATTTCATTTCACCGTGTACACGTCGCCCAGCAGAGGGCATAACAATAACTCCCGGAACCCTTGTGTCGACTGTTAACGTTTTTGATCCCGTAACCTTTACTCCTCTGGGGTTGAAAATTTATGATAATACCATTCCGGTACGGGATACGGAAGCTATAACGTTCTTTGTTCCCTATCCTATGAACGGTGTGACACGAGTTTGATCAGGAATACTCGACTACTTCATTTCCATCTCTATATATCTACTACTAAAATTATTATTCTATATAAATACTTCTTATTTATTACCATTTATTAACTTTATCCATTGTAATTATATACTTCTTATTGTACCCTAAAATCTATGACCATTATAGAGTTATTCCAAAATTCTTTTTGCGTTTAAACTCAATTCAATGAAAGCCAGACATTTCCCTGGTATGAATTAGTGCAATTCCAGGCTTCTCTTTAAATTTTTCGACGTATTAAAAAAGTACAACTGACACTAGATAGAAGACGAAATCCACCTAATTAATTTAATGAATTTTCAAATTAATCCCGAACAGTATCTTCTTCTCTGAACTCCAAAAACGAGTCCTTCGCATGGTTGTCGAATTCATCTCGAGCAAGGTTTCATCTCACTTGTCAGAGAGGCTGTGAATCATGATCCTACGATACGCAGAAGATATCGGAGAGAGCATATACTAAATAAGGTCTTTATCTAAAAAAACTTCGAGTCATTTGTACGTAGTATTTGTACAGCAGGAAAGCTAAGCAGTGACCTTCTAAACTAAAAGTGAATTTCATCCCACGATGATAACCCAAGTAACGTTTGAATCAATCGGAACCAAGGGGAAATCCAATGACTCGGAACAGAAACGTAAAAAGGATTCGGAGTATATTACGAAAAAGCTGTTTTAATAAAACATGTAGCAAATTTTATTCTTAACAATATTGCTCTTTTTCAGTTTTGCTCTCAGACGTATAGATATTGAAGAAAATGTGAAAATATGAAATTTGACATCTCACAGCTATTGAAACGAATCAATAATCTACTTACTAATAGATGGCGTAGTAGTAATGCAAGGACGGTAGTTCTAGTTTTCTAGAACTAATAATGGAAATGGCCGTCTTAAGAGGCGCACGGCTAATATTTAATAATAATAATGCCTTTTATTGAATTAAATAAACTTAATTACAATGTATAAATAAAATATGTAAGGCGGGGTCCAGATGGCACATCAAAAATGTGCGCCTGCTTACACCCAATCCACTAACGAAAATTTTATTTCAAAGCAAAACGCAAGATAGCGAGTAATGTCACGGCAAGCGAGAATAGTTGAGGTAAAAGATGGCACACCATATACAAATAAAAATAAATATAAAAAAAATAAAATAAAAGAAAAAACTATTGATCTCTCATTAGCAAGTTGACAAGGGTAGACTTAAAGGCTCTGACAGATAACATCTTTAGGTCATCAGGCAAATCGTTATAAAGTACATAAATCTGGTACGTGAATGATCTTCTAAATAGTGACAACTTATACTTAAGAGGAGAAATTCTACCTCTGAACCTCGTATTCAAATTGTACACATCATAACAATATCTTATTGTTGGTCAAAATCTTATAATAGAGACAGAGCGTTAGCAATTTACGTCTATTAAACATATTTAACCAACCAATGTCACGAAGTTTATGCGAAATACGAGCATACTTTCGAATACTGTATACAAAGCTTAAACAAGCATTCTGCACTCGTTGAATGCGTAGAGTATCAATACTATCAATTGAAGCATGGTAAAGCGGAGCGCAGTGGGCAAAATGAGATAGAACCAATGAATCACACAGCTGCTTTTTTAGTGTTAACGGCAAAGAGTGACGATGAGGGTATATGTATATGCTCTACGCATAAGTAACGAAATCTGCTCTTTGTATCTAAATGAGTTATTTATGATAACACCCAAGTTTTTTACACTCTCACTTATCGGAATAGTAACATTATTAATATTAATTGTAAACTGTGGGGTAATCGATTTGATCACCAAAGAACTACCGAATAAAATTGCTTGAGATTTAGAAGGATTCAAGTGGAGATTATACTTTAGTGTTAATTGATATAATTGATTTAAGTCAGTATTTAGGTTCTGGAGAGCTGTTTGCCAGTCGTTCGGTGCAAAAGACACATACAGCTGCGTATCATCAGTGTATGCGTCCTTCAAGAACTTCGAAGTGTATATACAAAATAACAGGGGCCCGAGAATCAACCCTTGTGGTACTCTTGCAAAAACAGGACGATGTGTTTTGCTTCAACTTAATCATTTGAAACCTGTCACAAAGGTACCGCCTAAAAAGACGCACTAAACCCCACCCTGGACAGAATATTAAGCTAAGTATCGTGACTAACCGTATCGAAGGCTTTACTGAAATCAAGTAATTTTTCCCCTATTCGTAGCAGTCAGTATGTCATCGATCATCTTTATTAAAGCTGTGCAGCAGCTATGTCTCTCTTTAAAGCCCGACTGACAACATGGTATGAAATCAATTCAATTGTTTGTATATAACCCTCTCCAACACCTTTGATAATACCGGTAATATGCTTATTGATCTAAGGTCCCGATTAGTAGTGGGATTGCTTACTTTAGGTAGCGGAATAACGATTGCTATCTTTCATTGCGTAGGAAAAATACTCTCTTCTAGGCATTAACATTAACTATATGAGTAATAAACCGTAAAATATGACAACCGTAAAGATTTAATGTGTCTATGCTAATATCATCTATACCGGTGGACTTCGATGTTATTGAACGTAATATTATTCCTATTTCATTAATTTCCACATTTCTAAAGTGAAATTCAATTTGACCATCTGTTGGATCGACTCGGGAGCTTAGACCAAGAAAAATGCGTTTATTTCGGCTACAAATACCTACCCTTCCTAAATCATTCCACAACTGCCTTGAGCTATAATGACCAATATCAACCATCAAATTACTGAAGTAAGCTTTTTTCTCAAATCTTATCGTATTAGTAGTTAAATTTCTTAGTCGTTTGTAATTTTGCCAATCTATATCTCGTTTATAAAGCCTAAATTTAGTTTTTGCATTATCCCGAAGCCTCATTAATAACTTTACATTTGCAGTGATCCAAGGAAGGTAGGTCTTAGTAAATTTTCTGATAATTAAAGGAGAATGTACATTTAGCAAGTTTAAAATGGAATATGTAAAGAAAGAAACCTTATAAGAAACCTAACCAGATCAAGCAAAAAAGAATCTATGCCAATAGATGCCAACGCCCGGTATGTTTTTAAAACAGGCTCTCTCAAAGGAGATTTCACGTAACATCAAGTATACCATGTTGTGATCACTAAAACTACAGTCAACAACATCATTGTTTATCACAAGGGACGGTTATTATCAGATCTATTAATGTAGATGAAACACTCTCGTAACTCTAGTAGATTTTTTGATAAGCGAGTGAAAAATAGTAGATTTCTAATTCTAGGTGTAGTATTAGTTTTAGTGCTCGTATTAGCTCTAGTTTTTATATCGAGATTGTACTGTATTTATTATTATATTGAGACAACAAAATTGTATTAAAATTAAAATATTTAAATAAATGTTTCAATTAAATAAGTAGGTTAAAATATTAAATTACTTGATCCTCAGTTAAGTAGGGTATATAATTTCAGTTTGATTTTCATTAAGTCATTTGCTCGAACGGTGGATTAAGTAAATTAACTGGACAGCATCCGTTAATATACGCGTATCGGTTTTTGCCGTCCACGATAAATTACAGAAATTGTCTTTAATTAGCCTGGTAAGTAATGCTCCCTTTTTAGATATAATCGTGGCGGCGATGTAATTTACCGCTAACGTATGCAAAGTGCGACAACGGCATAGAAATGTTATAATTTAGACGTTCATGTTCAAAATATCGCTTAATAAGTTTTCCCCTTTAGAAATTAACAGCGACGGTAAATTGGCGAGAACTTATTCAAAATACATACAACACGATAGTGCGCGATATCTCAAAGTCGTTTATTATTGCAATAACCTCCATGACTTACGTACCATTAAACTGGAATATCGCGTATAAATTTATCAATAATAAATGTCGAAAGTCGCCGGTAAAACGGCTACTGGCCAACAGCAAGCAGAGGTTGAAAATGGTTGCGTCCGTTTCACTAATTTGTTCGAGATCCAGTTATCGACGCGGGAGTCCAAATTAAAGTCAAAAGCTTCGAGCATTAAGCGTTATTAGAACGAGTGCTGGTTAATAACAGCTTTATACATTTTTCGGACTACCGCTGAGAGCTCCTCTTCTCGTATTCCATTTTCAAACTACATGGGTGGCACCAGTTCCGAGACATCAGACCAATTGAAAATATGAAATGAGGTTTGTAAATGAGACGTCGATTAAAAAAATTACCATTTTAATTGCTTAAGAAAATATTTCATTCTTTTAAATGATATCCATAAAAGTAAAGAATAAAAAAAATAAATGAATAATTACAATCTAAAAGTCAACGTCAAAATGTAATTCAAGTTTTTCAAGTTAAAGAAAATCCTTGGGGGTGCTTTTCGATAGTGGTCATCCAAAATTTTTGTACGAAATGGTTTTCTTAAATGTCTCTTTCCCAATCTACTGTGGTTTTATTGCATATCGTAAGATGAAATTTATGTTACATTATTATAAGTTAAATTACTCAAGTTTTTTAGGCACGGTCAAGTTACGCCCGCAAGACCACCGTCTTATCCAAAAAATCCGTACAGTCATTTAAAATTTGAACCGTATGGACCGGGCCAATTAACGAATGTATTAATACAACATTTAAATTGATTTAATTTAAAATTTAACTTTTCAGGAAGGGAAGCGGCAGTCTTATAGATTAGGACAATACATTAGAAAGCATTACAAAAATTTTTTAAGTGATAATTATTATCCGGGGATCTTACGAGCAACATCAACAGTAAACGATAGAACAAACGCTAGTTTACAATTATTTTTGGCTGGTTTATTTCCTCCTAAAGGCGAATTAATATGGAATCCAAATCTATTTTGGCAACCAATTCCATTTGTGTGCGAACCAAAACCAACATACACTGTAAAATGTTTTTGGTATTTTTTGTTCAAATTAATAAGATTTATTTTAGTTTTTTCATGCAAGTGATTTTTATAAAGAGTTTCTTCCTGCATATCACCAACTTCATCACGATTTACATCTATCAGATGTTTATAAGGATGTATTTCAGCATATTGAAAATTACTCCGGAAGAAAAATCGATACAAGTTATGATATTTTCCGAATTTATGGTGATTTATCTCAAGAGGTAAATCAATTATTTATTTTATTTGAACGAAAAAATTAACAATCCATTTTAGACAGAGTGGGGTTTACAATTACCAGTATGGGCTTCATCCATTTACCCAGAACCGGTAACATCCATATCAGCGTTACATTTTAAAATAACTTGTGGCACCCCAACCCTTAGAAATTGTACTTTAAGTAAGCCATACATTTTTAACTCAACCCACTTTTATTTTACACTTATAATTTAGGATCACCAATGGAAGAAATAATCGAGAATACATTGAGTAGTACCAGGAATATTTCTCATGTTAAGTTGTGTTTGTACGCTTGTCACGCGGTCAATGTGGCCCACTTTCTGATTGGGTTTGACTCTTTTACTTCCCACGTGCCCAATTATTGTTCGTGTCTCGTTTTGGAAGTACACCGTGTCGACAACAAATTGTATGTGCAGGTAGTATTTGCAACCACAGCAACAACGGAAAAAGTGGTTTTCATAAAAAATTTATGAGCGCATTTTAGGGATTGTATAAGAGGAACGAAAAAAGTCACTTGGAACCGATTCATATGTGGGGAAAGAATCCTTGCAATATACAAGATTTTGTAAGTTCAGTGAAGTCTAATTTTAAATAAATGTTAATGTTATCGTTAATCTCCTCCAAACAAATTTCAATTTTTATTTGTATTAAATAAGGTTTAAGTTAAATTACATCTCTCCGTAATCCATCCAAATCTTACTTAAATAATTTTAATTTAAATTTTATTTTAAGAAAAAAGTTAAAACCAATAATTTAAAACCAAATCTGTCATAATTTATTAAAGAACAACTTATATTCTCGGAATGAGTATTGGAAATTGATTCAGAGGCAAATTCCGGTATCTGTGAGAAGCAGCAAAGCTTCAGGAAAAATTGGTCAAATAAAATTGCGTACATGTTGTTGTGTTTTGAATCACTTAAGGTTCGCAGACGATGTGGTATTGATCAATTTAGACATAGAGGAACTGGAAAATATGTTACAAGATCTAAACGAACACTCTAAGAATCCCCCTAGAGGACACCCTATGAATGAACCTACATAAAACCAAAATGATAAGCAACATGCAAAATGATGTTGCCATTGACAACTTTTTTGTCATTACTTTTGGTTTGTTGCCGAAATAAAGCGATGGATTCAAGTATACTGGGCAGTATTTGGAAAATTCTGTTTTATACTGAAAAACAAAGAAATACCGAAAAGCCTAAAACGAAAGGCTGCATTCGGACTTGAAACCATGGATTCGAGGGACATTGCAAAATAATTTAGAACAATATTATTCATAAGACCGATGGAATGAGAAAAGCTGGTAGTCACTCTGAGAGACAAGATTCAAAACATTCGCAAAAGATCACAAGTGACAGATGTTATGAGTCGAGTATCGATGCTTAAGTGGCAATGGGTTGGGGATGTGGCAAGAGAGAATACAGAAAAATGGACGCACAGAATAACCTTTTGGAGAATTCGAAAAACTAGAAGAGGTGCAGGAAGACCGTAAAAGAGGTGGATCGATGATGTGAAGGGTGTGATGGATAAAGAATGGATAAGAACAACAAAAGACAGAAATAGCACGGCTTATAGCAGTGGATGAATACAGGCTGAAGAAGGAAGGAAGTTTTGTCGATTTTATTTGTTCTTGATCGAGTAAGGCTCAATATTGTCGTGGAGCTGAACACCAATAACTGAACAAACAGTAAGAATAGAAGATAAAAACATAAGAACATAAGATAGGGAAGCAGTCTAAGCTCCACATTCTTCAACTTGATCACAGACAAAATAAATTATTGACGTGACCTCAGAGTAAGCTGTAGTATCTCGAAAATACAGCAACAATATTCAACATAAACATCGAGGAGTCAAAAATAATAGCAAATTGATAACAAATTGGCATTATACAATAAGCCTATAAAAATGTGATGAGCTTTAAATATCTTGGCGACAATATTACCAGCAGCAAGAACCCCCAAGAAGGAGTTACAGTACAAACAACGAAAGGTGCTTTGATATCAGGATACCTGAAGGACATAATATGGCAAAACAAATGTATATTCTTAGAAAGCAAGGTTCGCATAGATAAGAAAAAATGCTACCACAAAAAGAATCTTAAGAACAGGCGATGAGGAGGTCATTAACCCTCGCGTGAACATGCGGGGTAATTGAATTACCCCACGATTAAATGCTTGCTAATATTTTCTTAATTATCGTATCTACAGGAATGATTGTTCATGTATGCCTTAAATAAGCATTAGTGAACACGATCATGATGTATTTATTTTAATTTTAATTAAATTACACAGTGAACCCGTACAAGACCCCTTAGAGAAACTACAAGCTTTTATGGGAGTGCTAATTACTGCAGGAAAGAAAAGGCATATAACTATTTTACTGCAGTTTTATCGAAAAATAGGTTCAAAGACATTTACAGACATAACAAGGTTTGATGATCCAACAACCCGAAAACTAAGATTGCAAACTAGTGAAGATAAATTGGAAGCGAATTGCGAAATATATAACAATTTTGTCAACTACTGCATAGAAAATTATTCGTTAGGTACAAATATTATAGTAGATGAACATTTGGCGACATTTCGTGGCAAATTTCTATATAAAATGTACATGATAAGCAAACTGGGACGATACAGCATAAAAATTTGGGTTTGTGAAGATTCTGACACCGCCTATACAGGGTGATTTATTAGCTCACCATCAAACCTTGACATATGATAGCTAATCCAATTACCAAAAGAAAATGTTAATGAACATGATGTCCTATTTCAATTATTTACGGAATTATAACACTTTAAAGTTTTAATTTTTATATCATAATTAACTGCTACATTTTTTTTAAAACACATAAATATTACTAATATTGTTCAAAATAGCCTCCTTCTGCTAGAATACATGCTTTACAACGACGAATTAAAGAGGTGTTTAGCCGAATTAGAATGTCTGGTCGATTTCTTATTTCAGTAGCAACCATTTGTATTCTGTTTAATAACTGTCCTCGTGTGTTAATTTCCACTTGATACCCAATTTGTTTCATATGACCCCATAAGTATAAATCCAAGCAGATGGACCATTATTACCAATCCACTTGTTTGGAAAATATTGGTTTAGCCACTCGATAACTACTCTTCTAATTACATTAAGAGGTACATCTTCAAGTAAATCAAAAAGTGTATTGTTCAAAAAAAATCTGAAAAAATTGTTGAAATTGCCTTGGTCAGCTGTCATATGTCAAAGTTTGATGGTCAGCTAATAAATCAACCTGTATACTAAATAGCCAAGTGTATACTGGAATGCTAAATGGGCGCAGAGAGACAAATCAAGGCTAAAATATTGTTTTGTGGATGTGGTTAGACAATATTTTGGTTCTTGGCGAAAAGGGACTACAGATAATTTTTTACATCTATTCCTTTGGTCAAAAAAGCTTTTCAAATAAAAATGTATCATTACAGGAACATTCCGTGTCAATAAATGTCAAGTTCCCAATAAATTTTTACCACAAGTATCGCGTCCAGAATATACAAGTAGTAACAGTAATCATATATTATACAACAAAACATCCAGATTTATGCAATGACCGAAGCTACCACAGACAATTTCTACAAATTGTCTGTGGTAGCTTATACCTAATAATTATACCTAATTAATATACGGCATAGAAAATGAAACGGTAAAAATTTGCACATCCTCGTAAAGCTTACAATCGACATGTTTTTGTAGATAAATGAACAAGAAGAGCTTCTTACTTCTTTCAGCAAATGTTTCGCAAAATAATGCTGCTAGTTCTATATGCGCATTTTGCAGAATACACTCTGTGGAGTTATAAAAGATTTCTATAAAAGATTCTATACGATGATTTGCAAGCTAGGATGTAACTTCCCATCAAAGGGTATGCATAATTTTAAAAAATGATATCTTAAAGTAAGAGGAAGAAGATGTGTTTAAACAGTGACCTTTAGAATATCTAATACAAGATCTGAACCATCTTCGGACGAGGAGAGTAAATCAAAAAGGAAGAAAAGAAGCATTTTTATGAAAAAAATTCTTTCTCTTCGTCAATAAGCAAAATATGCGTTATCGGGCAGCCACAAAAACTGACCATGTAGATTTCATGCAGGAAGTGTGAGTAGATCATATGATCTCAACATGGTGACATGCTGTTTATTATCGTGCTATAATGCAAAATTATTTTTGGCCAAAATTCAAGACTTGACATTAATGATGTGTAGTTTCAATACGATGGTGCCACATGCCACACACCTGGTCAAGCAATTGATCTATTGAAGAGGAAGTTCGGTAACCGTGTAATTTCGCGAAATGGTTCGCTTGGTTGGCCACTTCAGTCATGCGATTAAATGCCTTTACAATTCTTTTTAACGTAACCCCAAAGTCAAATATTCAACCTTTGAATTAAAATATCATTTATTTCTTTTATCCTTCGTATGTGCTAGAAAATAATAAAGAATACAAGTCAATTTTAATGAGCATCTCAAAATAACAAATTACAAAGTTGAAAAGAAAAGAAAAATGAACGAAGCAATTTGTGATGAAGCTATTGTTTCAGATTTTTAGCATAAAGGATAATTGGATTTTTTTGTGATTCCTACACAAAGGTTTATTGCATAATTAAATCACGTCTGATCTTGCTTTTCAAGTCGTCATCTCGTCGAGATGACAACATAAATCATCCGATTAGTTAATATCGTTTCTTTTGTTGGTATAATGCACGGGGATCTCATTACGATCAATAGAGATTGAGTGTTGGGCAACGGCATTGTTGTCCCACACGACCCCCATAATGAATAAATACAATTCTGAATGAAACCGATATTTAAAAGCTTCATATACGCTCGCGGTCGCGTTATACAATTGAATGTCGACTGTTATTTCGTAACGTTATTTATGGGCTGTCTATTGTGCCCGGGGCCGCTCTAAACAACGTAATTTATAGTACTGAAACCGCGCGCAAGTTTGAAAAAAAAAATTTTTTTCACTAAAGAGATTTCGTCCGCGCAGCTTATTAAGCGGTCCGTAAATCCACATTTGTCTAGCACCTAATTACCTGAAAGTGCTTTGTTATCTCGACCGAACGATAAATCATCACGTAAGGAGTTGGTACGCTACGTTTCTATTCTTCTTTTAAAATGGATTCGTCGGGAAAGTAATTAATGGCACATCGCATCCCGTTAATAGCATTTTTTGGTATAGAATAAAAGGCGAGACCACACAGAATACTTGAACGCCTCGGGTTTCGGCCCGAAACGGAACGGGTTTATTGGTAGTTATTGTCGCGCCCGGACGCCCGTATTTGGCATCACGGAACAGTTATTGCAAAGGAAATTCACGAATTCCCCCGATTGTACCCGCCAAATAATGAAGACACTCTCACCTCGGACCAATCTTTACTGCGTCATAAACCCGATAAACTTATTATTCGACCTGCACTCGCTGTAAACAATGTTGTGCAAACACCACTTAAAATAACTTGACACTTTCGTAACTACACAAGAATTTTTGTGAGATATCCTACAAAAACGAAAATAATTTCCATTTCATTTTTATGATTTTTACCAAGTTCAAATAGGCGAAGAAGGAAATCTGTGTGAAACCCATCATCATTACCTAT